AGATATCCTTTTGATTCATAGTGTCAACGAAAACTATTCCTTCACTGGCTTGAGTAGCATACTGCACTTGATCATCATCCATCCCTAGCATTCGACAAATGTATCTTGATTCCATTTCTAATTTTTGACAGCACTGTATCTCATAAGTTTTGTCACACCTACACAGTTAGTAAACATAAAGTAATATGCATTAAAATGTTAAATTACTTTTGAGAAAGGATTTGAATGTGCTCAGCTTCTTCAAAACACAAAAGAGAGTAAAATTTATCTCTGTAACTGCTGGTTGTGAGTTCTTGAATAACTTGCTCATCATGAAGTACTACTTTATGCCGTTTTTTAAAGTTAACTTTCCATTGCCCTCCCTCATCAAAGTTTAGATCTTGCCTTTTTTGAGAACCAGCTGCTTTTCTAGTTACCTTAGTCACAGGAAAAGAAATTTCATTAGCATCGGTTGTAGGAAGAGAACTAGCAGCAATAGAATATGCACTGGTAGAGGGAGGAGCCTCTTCTTTTGTTCTTTTTTCTATAATAAGTACATGTACAATACAGTTACCAACCATACAAATTTTTGTGCTTGCCTTTTTTCAAGTCAAAGTTCCATGCATCACACTCCAGTACTGAGTGTGCATGTTTACATGCCTCTCCTTTACATCTTCTTTTATCACAGTGTTGAAAATTTCCTTTAATAGCACAAAGAGGTCGTGGCCTGATTAAAGAAAGCTTTCTTGAATTAGGATCTTGTGCCACATGTGCTAATTGAACAGGAGAATGATTGGCATAATCATGACACATATTATAAACAAGACTTTCATCATTAGATATTTCAAAACAGAATTTGCACACTTGAAGAACTCCTAATACCAAAAAAGGTAATTCTAAATCAAAGCACTTGATACCTTTATGCAATTCAGGAAAAAAAGATTTTGCTGCAACATTTAACTGTGATCCTGTACCATCATTCCTTAACTGACTTAACATTTTTATTCTGGTAACTAAAATAGGAATAAAATTAATTTTAGTTAATCTTTGCAAAATTTAGCCATACATGTATTTTCAGGAATAAATAGCCACTCACCTTGCTCATTATCACTATCTTTGCTCTCCATTTTATTATGATATTCATTCTCAATGTCTTGAACAAATGGAGGGATCATAACTTCATCATAATTTTTAACAAGGGTAACACCTATGTAAAAACATAAAAAATTTAAATAAACAAGGTTAAGTAGGATTCCGAACGACCAATGAAAATACNAAATGAAAATCCTACTCGTGACGCAAATTCTACTCTACATTGTACTTTCAATGTTATTATGTAAGAATTACGGATCACCTTGCAATGTAAAGTAGAATTTGCGTCACGAGTAGGATATTCATTTCGTATTTTCGTTGGTCGTTCGGAATCCTACTTAACCTTGTTTATTTAAATTTTTTAAGTTTCTACATAGGTGTTACCCTTGTCAAAAATTATGATGAAGTTATGATCCCTCCATTTGTTCAA